AAATAAAATAAAATAACACAATAATATGAACAAATATCTGTTTTCAGTTTCCTGTAGGACTATCCTAATTTCTCTCCTTACCTTTTCAGGAAAAGTTCTTCAGGAATAGTGATGACAGGCAGGTTAATTTTCTGAATGTTCAGTTCCTGCAGTCCACTTAGTTTGTCTTGCAGAGTCTGGGCATAGGGGACATCTTTTGATGCCTTTTGCAGCCAGGTGTTGGTTGCCTGCAATAAGGAGACGATTTTTGAAAAGTAAATAACAAGTTGTAGGACTTCCCACTAAGTTATCTGAAAGCCATCGTAACTCCTCACATACTGAGCTCTAGGCATTTGATACAATGACTGGCTCGATCAAATTTGGAAATGTACATCTTATTCAATCTGATGAGTGCTTTTACAAGTAAGTCCCATTTTGACTTCCATGGGAGAGACAAGAATTCACTAGGGCTATGTGGTCAAGCTGTAATATCTACTGCACGTTGAAACATACCACAATAAATTGTGACACGATATGTCGCAGTGTCATATCTGTGTGAGCCACCTTCCGATCCAGCAGTTCATTGGCATGCTTCTCTAAAGTTTTTGGGTAGTCTGAAAAGTCAACTGGGAAGCCAGAAGATATTTTTTTCACAGCAGCACTGGCACCTGAATTCCACTCTAGCTCAACTTTCTCAGAATCTGAAAACCATGAATTTAATAGAAAATGGTAAAATTAGTAATAATTTTACTCTATTTAGGGATATAGTACAAACTAATGTAACAAGTTGTTTAAATTTAGAGGTTGTATGTGTGGATCATGTTTTTGTCCCTACCATATCTGAGAAGAACTCTTTCTGAAATTGAGTTTCCATGAGTTGTTGTAGCTGAGCTTATCTGAAGATATCCCTTGGCTGGTGAGAAATTAAACAACGTTTCAGTTCTAAGATCAATTTGCAGGCGAGGAATAGAAATGGTGCCTCTTAACATTGTCTCTTCAATTCCAGAATATCTGTGAAAGCAAAAAAGTAAATATGAGTATAAAACATTTAACTCAATTTTTGCACTTATGTTTCAGGAGCAATTTCAGCATTTAAATCTATGGTAAAGGATTGAACAAAACTTTTAACCTCTGTTCCAATTCAATGAATATTTTCAGGTTTTGCTAGTTACTTTGAGAAATCCATAGTAAATTATTATAATGCTACTGTGCAGAAACACACAATCATAATTCCCTATTAACTGCATAATAGTGGATGGATGGAAATATGTACCTGTCTTGGTAAAGCTGTACCTGAACCAAATTCTGAAATCTTTATTGAAGCTGAATTCTCTACTAAAGGATGTAGACTGTGGCCATGAATCATATAGAAACAAAACACTTGACAAAATATATTATGCCACTGGGCTTCATTTTCCTTTATTCACATTTATTTTAAATCTCTGTAACTTTGTTGACTTGAGCAAACTTCTAATATTATGTTAGTGCAAATGAAAGGGAATTGAGGTCCTTGACATCTGTCCAAAGCTCCCACTGATATCAGAGGCAATTCTGCATGAACAGCAAAGACAAAGACTCCCTGGGGCACCATCAAGATCACAGAATTCCATGGAAGACTGAGGTTTATTAAAGAATGTGATCAGCTCATTTCACTATGGGCTTGTGAGGCAGACAATTTTAGAAACCCTGGCAGGCTGAACATTTTTGTTAGCTCCCCTGTAGATGTTCCCGGAAATATTCTCATCGTGAAGCGTGGGAATTTTTACAGGAAGCTCTCAGTTATTTTTGGTTTTGCTGCTTATTGAGTGCCATTAGATTTCTTCATGGGGAGATGTAATAACTTTTTTTAGAGCCAACCATATCCAGGGAAAGATAATACCTCTCTGAACAAACCTTGCCTTGTTTATATCCTTGGATTGTTACACCTGTAATAACACTAGGACAATGTCCTCCTTGTAATCATGTGTGTGCAAACATGGAAGAATTAGCTCAAGGAACTTATAATACAAATTATATATATATACACAGAGTAAGAAAGATCAGCTGGTGTATTAAGACGTAGTTATTTCATGTATATGTGATGGACTACAAATAAAATAGTTCAACAGTTTTTAGAAAGGGTTTGAATCACAGGTTTATATGTCTCTTTATATAAGCAATTACTCCAAAATAAGATAAAATTTCCCAAACATTTCTACCTTCAATAAAATCCTCAGCTATCTTATTCAAAGGTATCTGTAAAAGTCAAAGTGGTTTTCTGAGTTACCTTATCTGGCCAGTAAGAGTAACTTCAGATATCTTCTTGTTGTTAAAGTCTAAGACAAAGGTATATGCTTTCTTCCCATAAGTGGATTCATCAGTAATTCTGAAGCTTGTACCAAAGTCAACATCAATATCTGGAATGTGGACATCACTGGTCAAAATGTTTTTGTCTCTGTTGTATCTGAAGGTCAATGCGGCCTCATGCTGCTTTACACCTGGAAAATACAATGTACTTTGGTTACTCACAATTTGTTTGGACTTTTCTTATATAGAGACTAACAAAGGATCAACTTGAAATTATATCACCCTGAAGTTCTAATGCAATCTTTGGTGAGTTTGAATCACAGACTGGGTCATTTTTTTGGATCCCACCATGGGCTGATCCACTAATCTCATCACTACTTTTGTTATGTAAACTTGTCATCCCATAGATTTGAAAAATTTGCTGTTTATGCAGTTCTTCTCAATTTGCACGCTTTACTTCCATATTTCATCAGAAATGGTATTTTTCTCTTGCTTATATAGAATGCATTAACTTATCCTCTTCCTTGCTTTCATTCATCAGCATCACACTTTTATTTAAATCCTGGGGAAGCATTTTTAGGAAAAAATAATCAGCCTCTGATCATGAAAATCTTGCACTGGGATTGCGTATATAAAGTGAAATGCAAGTTAAAGTGTTACACACACACACAGAATCACATCGAAAGATCATCCAGTCCAACTATGCCAGAGCAGGATCACCCAGACCAGGTCATACAGGAACGTGTCCAGGCGGGTTTTGAATGTCTCCAGAGAAAGAGACTCCACAACCTTTCTGGGCAGCCTGGTCCAGTGCTCTGTAACCCTTATAGTAAAAAAGTTTTTCCTCATGTTCAGGTTGAACCTCCTATGCTCCAGCTTGCACCCATTGCCTCTTGTCCTGTCATTGGCTATCACTGAGAAAAGCCTGGCTCCTTCCTCCTGACACTCGCCCTTTACATATTAATAAACACTAATGAGGTGACCCCTCAGAGTCCTCTTTTCCAAGCTAAAGAGACCCAGCTCCCTCAGCTTTTCCTTATAATTGTTGGCTTGTTTAGGTGTGAAAATGGTATTCTGTTTTTTACTGTAAAGAATTCTACTATGATTTACTAATACAAATATTTTTCCCATTAAGTGACACAGTTCAAAATTGAGATAAACCATTTGATTTTTCAGGCTCTTACCTTCTGCCTGGACAGCAAACTTTAAGGTGTCTATTAGGTCAATTCCTTCTCTCTGCAGGTCATAGTTTGAACTTACAGAGTATTCCTTCACTTCACCTGTGGACACTATTTCAACTTCAAATCTAAAGAAGGAGTAAACAAATGTCTTGTAAATAACTATTTTGTCTGTCCCCACAAACAGGAGAAGTCACACAGCTCTCAATAGCTTTCTTTCTGAGCTGCTCCTGCTAGTCTATTTTTAAAGATTTAAGCTTTATGCAAAAGTGTAGTGTAGATACTAAGCCCTAAGAGGAAGATTAGTTAACACAAAATAAATATAGTTAAAGCTGATATGACTTACCTGGATTCTCCAGTCAAGGGATAATATGGAGCTGCTTCTGTGGCACTGGCATTAGAGTACAATAATTTGGTGCAGAAATTTAGACCAGGAATAAAAGGCTTGCAGGAAGTCCAGGTTTCTCGGTTCTCAATTATAGATGGAATCTCTTCAGTTTTGGCTGGAGATACCAAATGCAGCGTATTGCTAGAACAGAAAAGTGAGACATTTATTCCCAGGACAGGTGTTCAGACACTGTCCTGTTAAGTAGGTTACTTTCTGAATATAAATAATTTATTACATTAGGGTCTTAACGAAATAACCTTCGGAGGTTAAATGATCAAGTGGTTTATTATTGTAAGTATTATAATTGATAATTATAATTCTGTGTATTGAGCCATTTATCCTCTATAAAATTAATGTAAGTAGTTGATTTAAATTAAATCTAAAAATAGGCATTGCTATTATAAAAAAATTATGTGAAAGAAAACAAAATAACAGAAATTGTGAGAATCTTGTTGAAAACTTCAGAAAGTAGTGAAAAATTAAAGCCTCAACTCGCAGTCGCCACTTATCTGGGCTATTTGCTTATCTGACAAAAGAAGCTGTCCCAGTTTTACAATGTCTGGAATTTTTCTGAACTGAAAGTGTCTCCATGCCTGCCCTAGCCTCTCAATTCCATCACAATAAAAACCAAAGAGAGAAGGGAAGAACATAGCCTTGCAAGTTCTCATTCAGTTCTCATTACCTGATACTGAGAAGCTTTGTTGGAGTCTTTGGAACAGGAATGCTGAATTTCAGCCGTCCAGCTTTCATATTAACACGTGCTTCAATTCCAGATTCATGGAATATATTAGAATTCATCTCCACGCCACTTCTAGCAAATTCAGGCATGTTTATGCCCAGGTGTGTTACAAACTCAATTGCTACTGAAGGTTTAGCAATGAGTTCTGCCTGCATCTATTTAACAAAAACAAAATGGTGTATTTATTTGCCCAATATTCTTCTTAGTGGTTTTAGAAAACAAATGTAATATTTTGATAACCTAAAGGTAGGTTTTGCATAATTGATTTTGCTATAAAAAAAATCAGATCCCAAGTCACATAAGTGGTAACCGCGACATAACAAACACAGCAAGCTGATAACACCAATAAACCTTGCCTACTTTGATGTAAGAATACGCATGCTTCAGAAAGATTTTGTACATGAAATTACTTGCATGTATTTTTAAATATGAAGCAAAGAGCCAGTTTTTCCATTGTAAAAAAAAAAGTAATTTTCAAGAACAATGACTAAACTATTTGACAAAAAATAAATGGATCCAAGATTGGAATTTCTCTAAACAGAAAACAGCTTATTTTCAAGCTTTGGTTTGGCCATTACAGAAAGAAAGGACAGAATGCAAAATTCTGGAAAAGATTTTAAAGGTAACTAAAAGGTAACCAGTATTAAATTTGAGGACAGATCTTTTTATTTCTCCTTAAATTGTGTGTATGGTTGAAAATTAAAAGTTTAGGTGAACTGAGAAATTTACATAAAATATTAACTAAATGAGATCAAAATAGCTACTAAAACTGGAAAAAAGAATGGAAATTTTTTTTTTTTAAGTTTTAATCAGATAATTAATTTTGTGTCACTAGCTCTTTAATCTTTACAATTTTAAAATGTTTCCTTTCAGATCAAAACAAGTTTCCCTTAACTCAATTTTAAATATTTCTTTTAACTGAAAATAAAAATTTCCACTTTGAATTGGCCACATCAAAATTTTTATTAACTGTTTGGTTTGAAGAGCAAATTCTAGCTCTAGTTTTTATACCACTCTCATTTGAGAGCAGGGAGAGAGAAATAAACAGGGATTAAAAGGATTACTTTTGAAAGGGTGATTAAAACCACTTTTAATTAATACATTTTATTATGTCTCATAATTTATTATATGTATTGCTTCTTAATTTAATGTAAATGCTATCCACAAATTAACTGGAAACCTCTAATAAGTTGTTTTTTCATTTCAAGAGTACTTTGCAGTCTTTAAAATTCTTCTCGTGTTTTAGTTTTATCCCTAAATGAGATTGTAGATTGCTGGGAGGAGACAAAATAAAGACAGCTGTAGAGACTTACACTTTTTTGGTGGAGCTTCACAGCTACTTTGGCCCCAGGTGTCACTACTCCAGACAAGGCAAACTTCAGTTGCAAACCTGCTCCCGTTGGGAGCTCAAACTCATTGTCCATGAACATGTAGTGAACAAACAAATCCCTGTCAACACCTTTTGAGATGGCTTGTGCAATCTGTGAATCAACAAGGAAATGAACATAACAAATCTGCACTTTGAAATATGTACATTTTGTACTTTAAAAATTGATCATGGGATGAACGTAGCTCTATAATAATAAGATTTCATATGGAGTACAGAAGCTAATTTCTGCAGATTCCTTGCTTCAAAAAAAGTACTAAAGACTGTTTATTGAGATCTCAGTTTGAAATGAATATTAGATTTTATTTCCTACCTTGATACACACAGATCATCTACCTTAACATACACATACAAAGGTGAAGTTGTTTAGGTAACATGTAACATTCTGGCTTCCCCAAAGTCAATGGCAAACCATTTATTTACTTCAATGGAATAAGGCTTTTACCAAATATTCTTGAACTGTACTACATCGCCTTTTCTTTCTAACATGATGAATTATTGCTTAATATTAATATACATTTTCACAATTAGAAATTTATTAGTATAACATAATGGCCCACAATAAGATTTTGAGTACTGTTCCAATAGATATCTCAATCATACAATAAGATTTGAATACTTCTTTTTCCTTCCCCTCACCCATTTTCCAGGAGGACTCAATTTGGTTATTCAGGAATCTTCGTGGGTTTCGCAGAGAACTTCAGACTAGATCTGAATATTTTATTTTAAATAATTTTATTTTCATGCTGATATCAAATATCCATTATTTACATCATAGATAAACTTAACCTAAATGTCAAAAAAATATTGTAGAAAACCCCAAATTAATAACATACATTTGTGCATCAGAAACGTACCATTTCAGGAATAGTCTGAAGAGTTTTAATGGTCTTTATAATCATGCTTCCCACCAGTTTGAAATCATTGAGTTTCATGTACCCAAGTTCTTCTCCCAGGATTTTCAGATATGCTCTTCCTTCAGGAACTTCCTTGTTGCTCCATTCTTTTATCAATTTTTCAAGGTTAAGCATTATTCCTTTCATGACATCCTGAAAATACAGTCAGAAAGTAGTAAAACAGGTTTATGAAAAATCTGTAAGATCATATATGTAAAACAGTTACTTAGTGATTTGCATATGCACTTCTTACAGATCTGTCTCCAGACAAAGGTTCTTCCCACACACAATTATGGAAAAAACATCGTTAAATAGTATTAAGGATTTCTATTTTAGCTTACCAGAGAGAAAGTCTTATGTACAGTAAAGAGGGAAATGGTGTAATTATTGTGTAAAGACAGGAATGATGTGCTGCACTGAGAATATTTTCAAGTTGTACCTGATCCTGCTTGCCATCCTGGGGGTAACCAAAATAGTCAAACAGCACCTTGGAAACCTGCTTTGGTGCTTTGCCATCAACCCAGTACAAGGCCTTGCTTGCGGTGTCTGGGAAAAATCCCTTTTCTCCAAAAAGAGCTTCCAGAGTTGGTTCAAATCCCCTTCCATCCAAGCCAAGCTGAAATGAACAGGACAAGGCAATAAATGAGACTGTTCCCCCAATTCTTTGGACCTTTACAACAAACAGACTCTCTGGGGAACAAACAATACATTTAAAGTGTATCCTACAAGTCTACGAATCCCAAGGGAAGATACTGAACATTAGGTCTTACAATTAATTTTATCTCTGTGGTGAGGTCTAACAAAAAACCTACACAGAGGCTGTATCTGACTTAAAATCTACTATGAGTACTTCAGTGTGCCAGTAATGATTCATTAGCATGAAGTCAATTTGTTACAGATGGGTTCATTTTACCCTAGCTGAGGCCTTTAATAACTCCAATAGGGTCGTCCATCCAGTCAGTGGCAAGTGACATCAATCACGTAACGGACGTCTTGCTCTAAAGCCCGTTGAGATCAAATGAAAGTCCCCTTGTAAGCATAGTGATCTTTAGATTTCTCCCAAAGCTTGTAAAAACAATACATTATTCAGAGAAAGTTGCTATAAGTAAACAGAGAAGAGAAAAAAACAGCTGCATACTAGGAAAAGATTTTGATAATTGTTGTACCTCAAAGAGATCGCTTGGGCCAAATCCATACACACTCAGGGTGGTTTTCAGCATAGTCTCTTTAGGAACATAGCTGTTTGGTTCAAATACCACATTTCCCTCTACTTTGGCAGAGACAGGATCAACTCCAGGTATGGAAACTCTTTTTGAAATTTGATAATTTTGTGAAAATTTTCTGAAATCTTTGGCTGTTGGAAGCTCGTCTCCTTTCAGAGCTTCTTCAACTCTGCTTTTTAGACTAGGAAAGAGGATAGCAATGTAAATGCAATTAGTATTAATTAAAAAGCATATATAATCTTAGTTGAGGGATTTCTTGAGTCACTTGCAGACATTGATACAACTCAGGTGGTTGTAAATAGCTAGCTCTTTGCAGTAAAAATAAGACTTAAATGAAAGACTGTAAGCTGGCACTGCTCTGACAAAACCATAGATTTACTCAACTGATATGCTTGCTCAAACAATGAAAACAAACAAACAAGAAACCCAATCAAAAAAAAAGCACTGCTAAATATTCAATTATGGTCAGAACTTTGTTCTTCCCGAGACCAGTATATAACTAAATTTTACTTACTCTTCAATGCCTACTTCTTCAGAGTCCAGGATGTTGGCAATATGTGAGGCAACAAAGCTTTTCACTTGCTCATTCTTCTCCTTTGTGAGGACTCTCAAAACCTTTGCGAGATCACTTGAGGAAGGATTTTTCATCAGCATGAGATAGGCTGCTAGGCGTTTGTCTGTAGGTGCATCCCCTTCTTGGAAAGCTTTCAGAAGTGCTGAACAGTCCTATATAAATAGAGAAAGGTTTGCACTGATAAGCTGGCTAGTAAATTATATTGTTAAACTCTTCTGGGAATATATAGGGTGAAAAAATTTCCAGGATGTAATTTTCAGGACCATGTAATAATTTCTGTGCCTTATTTCTATAACCAACCGAAAATGTTTAACTGAAGCTATTTTAATAAAGTTTCTTTTGATAGAAAATGTCATAGAAATTATGGTTTTATTAAAACTAAGTTTCTTATCCTATATCTGAAAGTTTACATTTTTGTTTAGAATACTGAGTTTTGATTGTTGGAAAGCAGAAGTGCTCTGGTCTGTGGACAAATTCTCAAATTGGGTAAAAATGATCATTCACTTTAGGAAAAGAAGGTGTTCAAAATCTTCTGCTGTGGGAAAATTTTAAAAAGTTTGAAAATAAATTATAATTTAAAAAAATATATTTTTTTTATTAAACTGAACCTGAAGATGTGAACTTCAGGTGTTTCCACGCTCCCAGACTCGTTAAGCCTTGTCTGGAAATGCGAACATGTCTCTTAGAGTAGAAACATCTTGATATTGAAACTGTTTCAATATACTAAGCTGAAGTGCTCTGTATAGTGACACCCATTCTGTAGGAGGTGTTTCAGTATCTCTGTAATGTAAACATAAATCTAACTAGTACTATTAAGAACAACGACAACAAAATGCCAGTATAAAATAGGGCCCTGATTTTTTCTTAGTTAAATCCATCTAAATCTGGAGTAATTCCTTAGGTAAAACCACTTTAAAAAAGATGCTCTAACAGGAACAGATCCAAACTTCTCAATTAAACTCAGACTATCTATACAAAGCAAATGCATCCCAAAGGAGCAACACCCACTAAGTCAGAAGTCTGCAGAACTTCTCAGATATGTGGATGGAAATTAAATAAACTAAAGAAGTTCTAAAAAATGCTGGAGACAGCTAAAACACAGATAGGAAAACTGTGAAATAATAGGAATTTTTTCTCATATTCAATGACTTCTGTGGACAGTCAAGGTGGACTGAAGACAGTTTATGCTGGTTCTTGTGACTCAGTTTACCTCTTCAGTAACAGTCATTTTCCTGAATGCCTGGATGGCTGCTTTCTGAACTGAAAGTGATGCAGCTTCACTTCTGATACATGTCTTAAGAAAAGATTTCAGGTTGGGTTTAGCTTTCTCCATTACTGCACCCATGTTTCCAATAGCCTGTCAGTGATGAAAACACAGAAAGATGATAACCAATTTTCCCCACCAAGAGAAGCAGAATAATGAATTCACCACTCATTAAAATAATAGCCTGCATAAGAAAAGAAGGGAATAAAAATACCCGAAGTGTGAGGTATGTGAGTTCATCTTCTCCAGAACAATCAGTGCCAAGCAGTGATACCATGAAGTCTGCAACATCTGTTATTTCTTCTGTCACAATCTTCTTCTCATTGTAGAATCTAAGGAAATAGAGAAACACATTAGAAACTAAAGGAGAAAATGGATAATGTCTATTTATTTTTTATTCTCAAAGAGCAAATCCATGAGAATAACAAAAAAATCCTCAAAAGGCGACTAACCTTAGGGTTTACTCTAAGCATTGTAATGTTTTCTTGAAGTTATTTTGTACAATTGCATGCTATCATTACTTACTTAGTAACAGAATGACTCAAGCCATAAAAAGAAGCTCTACTTGGCTGATACTGGGCCATGGAAAGGATTTCCCGTATTCTTTCCGGAGTTGGAGAAGGCAATAGTGCCAGCGTATATGTGACCAGGTCTACCACAAGTGGATTCACATTTCCAGTTCTCAGTATTTGAAGGACTGCACCATAGCACTCTGGAGTCCCACACTGAATCAGGGCCTGAACTGTGATGGAACTGAAAGGAAAAAATATTACTTTGATTAATTAATTCCCTGTTTGCAGTTATCACTGCATGTTGCACGTCTGAAATAAACACTTGTCAGGTTTATTGAGGTTTTTTAATGTAAATGATGTATGCTTATGTGTGACTGGAAGCAAATCACACAATTGTTTATCAAAAAGACGCTTCTTGTTTTACAAGTTATGATGATAACATGATTTGCTATGAACAACAATAAAGTATTAACAATACTATAATTACACAGACATATCTTTTTTTTCTCCAGAACAGACTTTATCACAACTTTAAGTATTATAATATAATATATTGAATTAGGCTGAGGCTCCAGTCCCTTTGCAGACTGAGGACATAAAGTATATGTAAACTACTCGAGTCCAGCTAAGGCAGTAGAGTAAGGGTGGGGAGTGGAGGGCAGGGTCAGACCAAAGAATTGTGCCCTTCCATGTCTCCAAAAATCTCACTTTCAAAACTGTGTTCTTTGCTGTAAGTCAGACTTTGAGTTTGGAATTACAGTCATTGTCCTTGAGCAAAACTACATGAAAGATATTTGGGTATACTAACATATCCATAGGATTGTGTCTGGCATACACACTTGGGATGGTGACAGAGAAAAAACCTGTACTTGGCTATGTTATACACTAATTTATAGTTCAGCTTCTCCAATAAGCTTGGAAGCTTTGATGGGGAATGATCAATACAATCTTAGTTCTTCATAAAAGGCTAGAACTTTCAGATCTGTTTGAATTCTCATACTTTTCTCGTATATTTGATGTTCAAGTTGCAATTAACAACTAAACATTTCTGATAGAAAAATGTGAAATCCACAGGTTTTACTCCCTCTTCCTTATTTCTCTCTCTAAATAATTCTGATACTTATCTTTCTGAAAGACACTCTTAACATCTAATTAACCTCTTATTTAAAACCATTTGCATCAAGTCATAAACTTTAGAATGGATTTGCCGTGGCATTGACACGGGGTGTACTTGCACAATGAGCTGTTGTAACATACCTTGAAGTTTCCATCATCTTTGGTACAAGAGAGCCAAGAGTGCTGTTGTGTAAATTTCTAAGTCCAGAAACAAATCTGTAAAAGAGTTTTGCTCTCTGCTGGTTCTGCTGGGAGGCTGTAAGTTTCTGCAGTTCCTGAAGGGTTTTCAGAACAGTATCCCCCTGCCTGGGAAATTTGGCATCTGTACTTTCTAATGCAAGTCCTTTCTCTTCCAGTTCATCTAGCAGTTAAAATAAATTGCATTCTTTATGTTATTATCAAGGAGCTATGTTAATTTTTACCTTCTCTCATACATTCAATATAAACTCTGTAGATTGTTTTATGTGAAAATTTTTGAACATCTGAAGAGTTTCTAAAAAGAATGGAATGGGATTTAAATGTAATTCTCCCCAAAAATTAATAATAATACCTATTTGCATAGATTCTTTATATTTTTATGAAGATGATTCCTTACCACCTTTTGTATTAGCATAGTTTGCTTTTTCAACTTTTAATGAATATATCTTAGGAGACATAAGTTATGACTAGGAATAACAACTGCATCTCAAAGAAGTGTTTCAGAACCAAATGTATAGCAATTGTGGACTTTTTACATTTGGCAGCTGAAGCTAAAAGTTGCATAAGAAATTATGGTTAGCTAAAAAGGGATCATTAAGCACATTTCCAATAAGATTAAAATTACTTTCCAAGTAAATTATAATTTTTAATTACGAAGACTAATTTAAAAAATAAAATGGAAAGACAAAGATTATTTAAAATTACAAAGCATTTTTAAAGTTTTATACTCCAATGTTTTTCCTGACTAAATTGATGACATTTCATTAAAAAATATGAGTTGTTTTGGTCCCTTCAACTGCATCGTTAATTAATTTACTGTTAAAAAAAATTATATCCTTATATTTCACCTGTATTTATATTTTGTACTTGTATTATTGAGAATTACAGCTATACCTGTTTCAAAATTTCTGTTATTGATCTTCGGGGTATCTTCAAGCTTCAGTGTCTGGTTGACCTCTGTCATCACACCATAGCGATTTCTGGCAAACAAAATTTAGCACTTTAGTTGAGTTTAAGGACCTTTGAGGGGTCTTCCCATACCTTCTACATAAGTATTTAGGGATTAAGTCAGGGCAGAATGTGATACATTACCATTCAAAAGGAATATTTATGAAGAAAGGGTATTGATAAATAGTGAGCAACCTACTTGTAAGAGGAAGGCAGAAACAGATGTTTTTCACTGCAGACAGCATCTCTTACATGCCTTTTCTTTGCATCAATATTGTAATGACAGAACTGAGTGCTTCTTAGAAGGGTAGATAATGGGATGTTCTGTAAAATAAATAGTTTGGCAGAAATTTTACTGAATAGAATAAGAAACATAGTTTTAAAGGCTGCCATGGTTTTCCTGTAATATTAACAGTTACTGCATATAGAAATAAAGGTGCATAACTGGAATCATTCTCATACAAAGACAAAATTGTGCCAGCATCAATCTCTAGCTTTAAGTCTCTTCACAGGCAAAAATCCCACTGAAATTTTCCCTCAGGCCTTACTGAGGTGTCTGGCTTAGCAGTTACTTCACGACTGATCCCCTGCTGCCTACAACAAAGGACTCCTTCATAGAAACTGGTTTGTAATTTTTAGAGTAGTTCAGGCCCTTTATAACAGCTGATGCTCTTTTTAATTTCACTCTTATTATACACATTTTAAAGATTTCTACAGCAAGCTGTAAAACAGGCAGAAATTATAAAATGTGGGGGTTTTTAGCATGATGTGAAATCCTTTTTTTTTTTTTTGAGGGAAAACACTCAGAAGTACAGATGCCATGATACCAGGAAGAAATTTGCCAATATTCATGCAAGCAACTGCACTTGATCATTATGGATTCACAGGCAGCCTGAACAGCATGTCAAACTATTCACCTTGGGGCATTTAGAATGCACTTCTCCTGCACATCACATATACATCAGGGTTTTTGTGCTGTTTTACATGAAGTGGCAATGTAGAAAATTTTGATCTACGAAGTTAAAAGTTTGGACATTATCTGATAGGTTATCATGCAATCAACAGTACCAACTCCAATCTATGAAAAACTCTTCTTTAAAAAATAATGAGAAGAACATGAAAGAAGGTAATTGCACTCTTTCTTTGCATCTGTTTTTCTCTATTGACTGCCAACAATCTGATGTAACACAAGGGTGCAGAAAAACTATTTAAGCTTTTAGAAGATAAATACAAAATTTACTTGTAGTAGTTGTTTATAATTTTAAGTGATGTAGTGAAAAATGTTATAACATAGAATTTTTAATGTATACTTACTAGTCCTTTTACAATGGCAATAGGGCTGACATAATCTCTGATGGGACTGAAGTTGTCACAGGCTTTCAGATCCCTGTTAATCGAAATATCCTCTGCAACATTTCCTTTTCTAGATTTGAATTCAACTTCACTGTCACACTTCCCATATACAGTATCCTGGAAAGAAGAAAAAAGTCAGTGTCTTAGTTCATGCTGTCAGACATTTTCTGATCTAGCTAAAAGACACCCTTTCTCATCTGAATTTCCAAATATTTTGAAAATTATTTTCAAGAGTAACACTACTGGGTGAGGGTACTTCCATTTGTTAAGAAAATAAGGTGAATGCTTTTCAAAATACCTACCATGGAAATTGTTTTTTCATTTTCTACTGTTTCTGTTGGCACAAGTAGAGCTGAGATGATCCCTCTCTTGAGATTCAGTACATTCAGAGGTTCATCCTTCTCTGGATACAGCTTGACTTTTGCTCCATCCTGAATGCTGAATTTGAGCTCATGTCTGCCAAAAAAAATCCCCAACATGAGTATAAAATCATGTTAAAGTCACCCAGTGAAGAATATGTTACCAATAAATGGCTGGGCTACAGCTAAAGCAACATGTTTATCTTGGTCCACCATTATTTACTATTCACTGTTGTTACTATTACGGAGTATTACTACTAAAGCAGTGAAGTCCTGACCATGAACATTCCGATATCACCAGACTACATCATCTAAGGAGAAGCAAATACCAAGACCAATGGCTGGAAGTTGGAATTGCACAAATTTAGAGAGGAGAAAATTTTTAGAATGAGGTAATTATTAACTACTGCAAAAGGCTACAAAATGGTGGGAAGGATTCTCTAACTGTGGCAGTCTTTAAATAAAAACTTAATTGTGCTGTCTTAAGCTGTCTTGAGATCTATGGTTTGTAAAACAAGATGGAGTGGATACAGAGGCATTGAAACAAGCATGAAGGTGCATGACTAAACCATGTACTGACAGGCACTGAAGACTAGTTGGGTGGAGGGAGTAGTATCAATAAGTTACGAAAGCAGATAAATAAGGAAAAGATAAGTTGCACAGGTCACTGAAGATCATGATAGGAAACCTGGACTTCAGTCTTAAATGCCCTTCTATAGCACAGTCTTTGTACCATATCAGCAAAGGAAAATTATCTTAAAATGACTGCAGACAGCCATTTGAGAATTTGCTTACAAGAAGGAACATTCCACTTGCAATAATCTTTAAGAAGACTACCCACTAGTTTCCTGATGTAAATGATATAAATGACAGATATTCCAGGTGAAAATTCTGGATGGAAAAAAACCCTTCTCTACTAGCAAATGAGAACCACGCCAAGTTAGCTCTAAATCTTATCAGGGAGAATTTTGCTTAGGAACCAGCTTACAAATCTACCATGTTATCATGAAATATTTTCTATTCCTGGAAAAAAACATAGTCAGGGTGGACTGTAACATTACAGACTGTTCATTGTTAAGGTTATAAGTGTTGATGAACTGGTTGTTGATAATTGATATTGCTTACTTGGACATGGCATTTGCAAAGTCCTCTGAGTTCTTTGACTTTTTCAGCATGGCCCTTCCCTCTGTGTCAACACCAAATGTCTCCCTCAGGGAGCAATGCATTGTCCTCAGGATGAAGTGGCATGATTGTGGTACCTCCAGTTCAACCTGAAAACACAAATACTATGTATTTATCTTTTTTTCATTGTCACATTTCCAGAATCATCCAGTTTTGAGAATATGGTCTTCCTTGGGTTTGGTAAAGTGTCAGAATCACTCTGCCTGCAGCTGTTGAAAAAGATTCCAAACTACTCTAAATAGGTTAAGGTAACTTGAGGGAGAAGATACAAAAGCAGGTAATTGCCTGGCTAATGGCATGGAGTGTAGTATATACACAGTAAACAAGCAACTTAGGTTCTGAAAATTTATAGTACCAGAAAAACTGTATGAAAACTTGAGTCAGTGTTTAGATTCAGTCAGAACAGTGTGTGCTAAATAAAAAATAATTTCCTCAGTTACTCCATTTCAGAAAAAAAATTCATAATGGGAACATTTTGGGCAAGATGGAGAGACACTAGGCAGTTTAATGGCCCATGGCACCTTTTGCTTCTAGAGCTCTGATCATGACTTGACTGTTACCCTCAATAGGCTATCAAGTGGTCTTCATGGCATCAATGAGCTGTTTCTGTTCAACTCTAGAACTGTTTGATGGACACTGATAGACTCAGCCTGGGAGTCAAGGAAAACTGAAGTATCAGGTCTTCCCCCTCTCTCATGTAAAAGTACAACCAGATCAGGATTGAAATGCACTAGTGCAGTGGTATGAAGGACTTCTGCCATCCTCAGTGCCTTCTGTCTAGGACAGGGAGGACTTAGTCTTCAGGACTCTCAACATGTGCCTTTCAAAAGACTGACTTTTTTTTGGAAAAACACTGAAGGATGCCCCTCAGCTGCCAGCTTCCATGTTAACCAGTATACATTCCCAATGGGTTGTACTTACTCTTCTTTCCCTCCCTTGCAAGTGATCTTAGAACCACTTCGAGAATCTGCCGTTCCCGTGATGCCATTTGACGTTTCTGCTTCATATGAGTAAACATATTTTCTGAGGTGTTTAAATCTGATTGCATCTTCTGCAATTAGAAAAAAACAAAAGTATTTGTATTATTTGAGTAGAATATGCATATGTAGATCCTTACAATACACACTTAACTAAAGTGTAACTAAAATTAATGTCACATATAAAGGAAGCATGAGAATCCTCCCACCATTTCCTTTTATATTTGCTATGGAAGAGCTTTCAGACAAAGCAGTAATGCCTTCGCATCAGCTGAATACTTTCTGAAGCATAAATTATAGCTCAGAGAAAACTTGGGGCAGGGGCGTGGTGGGGGGAAGACGATGACATTGTAAGTTTTTATGTCCATTGTTCTGTCTGATGAGATCTGATAATATGACCCTATCTGGCCTTCACATCATGCCCCATTAAAGTTAACGATAAAAACATGAGAAAATTTAAAGATGTTGAACTGTTTTAAAAATGATCCTATTGCTTCTAAATAAAAGCAATCAAACGTTAGTTTTTGAATTGGTAATAAAATGATTCATTTCAGCTTAGATTTTTCCATCTGACATGAGACTGAAAGCAAACAAACACAGAAAGAGACAGAACACCAAAACTAGCATTCCTCAGTAGCTTTTTCACAGAGCATTTTTCTGCCCCAGACACTCCTGACACATGATCTCCTTTAATTCACTTATTAGATCAGCAAATTTTACTAGAGTATGTTTTTTTTAATGGAGGTAAACTTTAGTTATAAGAAGAGCATCCAGAAAAAGGCAAAAGCATTAAGTTACATCTAAGAAAAAGGCAGGAGAGAGTATTTGAAGACATGTATCTCTTTTTTATCAAAGCAAGCCCCAAAATGTATTGGGCTTCCTCAAAGGACTCAATTTCACCTGTGTTAAATCTGTCCTTGTTGTTATCAGAGGCAATTCAACTGTAATTTTAAATCCTACAGGCAGGAATAAAGGTGGTAATAGAGACATAAAGAAAAAAGATTTTGGTTAAGTGCCAAATACAGGGATATAAGATCTTCTTTTGGGGTGTATCAGGAAGGGGGTGGTTAGTAGGTCGAGAGAGGTTCTCCTCCCCCTCTACTCTGCCCTGGTGAGACTGCATCTGGAATATTGTGTCCAGTTCTGAGCCCCTCAGTTCAAGAAGGACAGGGAACTGCTGGAGAGAGTCCAGCGTAGGGCTACAAAGATGATCAAGGGAGTGGAGCATCTCCCTTATGAGGAGCGGCTGAGGGGGCTGGGTCTCTTTAGTTTGCAGAAGAGGAGACTGAGGGGAGACCCCATTAATGTTTATAAATATATAAAGGGTGAGTGTCACGAGGATGGAGCCAGGCTCTTCTCGGTGACAAACAATGATAGGACGAGGGGTAACAGACACAAGCTGGAACACAGGAGGTTAAATCTGAGAAGAAACTTCTTCTCAGTGAGGGTGACAGAGCACTGGAACAGGCTGCCCAGAGAGGTTGTGGAGTCTCCTTCTCTGGAGACATTCAAAACCTGCCTGGACGCCTTCCTGTGTAACCTCATCTAGGTGTTCCTGCTCCGGCAGGGGGATTGGACTAGATGATCTTTTGAGGTCCCTTCCAATCCCTAACGTTCTGTGATTCTGTGATTCTTTTGATGTATGAAATGCATAATACAGGCCAAATGGTGTCCTCAATTGCAACTTACTTCCATTATAACTGCAGGCATAGTTTTAAACTAAACTGGGCATTTTAAGTGACTGTGTTAGAGTAGTTTAGGACTATCTGAACCAGAAGTACTGTCCTCTTTGTTTAGACTGAGCATTTATGGGATTGTGATGCTGTTGTGATGCTGAGTGAAAAGCAATTTCCTAAATTGCTCCTCTGTGGTTATTTGGGACTGCCAGAACATATTAGATTTCTGATCTACTTTTATAGAGAAAAAATGTTTAAGTCACCTTGGTGTAAACCCACATGTCTACCATCAGATCTGCATTATTTTGCTTGGCTATACCTGCAATGAATGTAACTTACCCTTCCTTTTTAATATTTGTTTTGTCAGAGGCTGACGGTAATGTTATCTTGTCATTTAAGTCACAGAATTGCATACTTAGAGTGAATAGAATATTATTATAAATCACATATTTCCTCCTTGTACTATCACTTTTTAAAGCTTTACATACTTGAATAGTGTTTTAACTTAATTACTTTCATGTAATTGCCAAACAGAAATAACATAATTAATACTAGCTATCCTACAGCAATTAGCATCTTACAAACATTTGAAAACTAAATTAAGTTATCTAATTAACCTTAAAATTAACTCCTATAAAAAATACAACATTATCCCTGTCACTTTTGGCTATCCTGGACCATAATGCTGCTTAACTGTGTGTTCTCAGAAATTTTCGCAACACCAGCATCTACTATGCTAAAGCCAAAAGGTTAATTATTGCTTCATTTCCTGCTTTTAAACAGAAATAAATAGTAAAGGAGCAGGGAAATGATAAGATTACAAATGCAAATAACAAATAATTTATTATATCAAAAATACACAAGAAATTGGCAATGAAGCCCAGAAGTCGTCGAGTTGGTTCAGGCAGCTGAAATAAACCAAATTGCCTGGAGATGGTGCTAAAGCAACAAGGGAAAAATACCCTGAAGTTCCAAAGGGACAAAGAACAAAACAACTCAGCTGGTACTTTGACCCTATGGTGGAACATTATGTATCTAACCAAGCAGTCAGGGCCAGTCAGAGTTCATTACAAAGATAGGGCATGAAGTCAGCATTTCCTGAGTCTTGACTTGTTTAAAGAAATCGCTGTCCTTGCTGACAGAGTTGATAAATTATTCTACAGGTATTTAGCTAGATATCCAGCTGCAATTCTGTGGGTTTAGCAGCCACTCTGAAGGGCAAATGAGAAGTGAGATTCAGCCCGTGGTAAAGTGTGGTATAGATAACCTCATTGCTAAAGCTTCATATCTGATAAACAAGGATTTCTAGATTAAGGAATTTACACCTAGCAGTTAAGAAATCAACAATACAACAGAAAGTAACTTCTCAAAGGGAGGTTTTTAAAAGTTTATAAACACAATCTCAGCTTCTCTGATCTTAGGAAACTTCTGAAGTTCTTTGAACCAAGCCTTATTGATAATTAAATACCCAAAATAAACGGCAAGAGACCAGACTATTGCAATCACTTTTGTTTCAGTTATTTCAGGGTAAGAGATATATGGAATAGGAAAAGTCAAGCTTTGAGATGTATTCAGTTAATATAGCAACATAAGATAACAAAAGAAGATGCAAGAAACCAGTTACTTGAACATCCTTGATTTCCACTTTCAGGCGTTTCTTCCTCTGTAAAGAATAAAAACAAGAATTAAAAGATGGAAAAGCAGTCTATAGCTATAAAACAAGGGCTATGGAAATTTAAATGGAAATACTAACTTTTCATTGTAAGACCTTTTTAATTCATACCAACTTTTTATGTAGTTTGGCACACTGATGTAAATGACAAAACTACTATTAACATTGACAGTATAGAGTCAAATCTAAAGAGTTACAATAGTTGCCTTGATATTGTGAACTAAGACCACAGAATAGGATCTTTCAGTCACTGAATAAAATAATTTTGATTTAAACTGAGAAGGATCAGCTTCTAGGTTAACAATTTTTTCTAAAAGCCCTATGTTATGTGAAACAGAAAGTTTATAAATGATAGGCACAAAACATAGAGGTAGACAGATGAAATATACTATATAACATGGTTTATTTTAAAATTTGTCTATTTGAGCACACAAAAATACTGCATAATGGATGTATGGCTATGTTTTGCTTTTTGTATATTTAAAAAAGGACAACTCCAATAATTAATACTAAAATTCTCTGCTATTAAATCTCTTCTGAATATTGAGAGTTCATTCTTTGGAGCAAAAGAGCACTGATTGGAAGCCTATTCAATTTAAGAAGAACCACTTGTTCCAACCTGTCTCAGGTATGTCCTTTATGACTTTATTTAAAATAAAATAAAACAAACTATAACCTAGAAACTTTGCTGCATTCATATGATGCTAAGTCATTCTTTGGGATATCACACATGAATGCCACCACTTTTTACAATATTCTTGGCACGCTTTCCAAGTTTTCATTCTGGGAATTCTAAGGTTGAGCACTCTATAGAAATAGAGTGTAACATTAGTTACAGTAATAGCACTAGCAACAGTAATACTATTACTAGTACTATTACAACAGTAACGGCAATAACATTATTAATAAACATTAGAAACAACTGCATCCTTTAAAATTGTATAACATTGGTCAACAACAGACTGTTAGTTCAGCAAAGGCATATATATGATTAATTTGATCTTCATATAAAACCAGGCCTGCATAATTGGCCCCAAACTCACTTTCCTCCCTAAGGTTCCTGAAGTATTAAGTAACGCTACAGTGTCCTGTTCTAAAAAGCCACTTCTTGGGAAGCAAGGATACCTCACAATCCACAGCACCATATTGATCTAGGTTGTCTTTTCCGATCTTAGGAAAAATAACTACTGGCCTACTTCTTTTACTACAATTACTGATGACTATGGTACTTTAACAGAAAATCATATTTCAAATGTCAGTATTGCCTGCCAAATACATTTTTCTTTATTGCTCTGTGTCTTCACATTTGCCGCAAAATAGGTTAGCAACAGCTGGGTAAGTCTCTATGGTATCTCCAAGCTATGTTAAATCTGATCAAGACACCATGCAACATTTGTGACTTTTGCTACGTTGGGATCCTCCTGTGATTGCACAGTTCTACAAAGGGAAGAGACTACATCTTTGCCACACTTACTTACTGTCTCTGATTCTATTAGCCATTGTCCTGTTGAATTCTGCATTATTGTTTTTTCAATGGGTTCATAATTAAAGCAGCAAAAAGCACTAATATAAAAGGCAGTACTTACGTGTGAGAACGCCACTGCTGAGCAGCAGCAAGAGCAGCAAGAGCTGCACAGGGCCCATGGTGAGCCCCAGACCCTCTTGCTGCTCTCTTTTCCTCTGTTTTTCCTTCCCTTCCCTCTTCACCTCTTCCCTACCGCCTCAGAGGGAGAATGAGCCTTCTGACTTGGACCTCCATTTATATAGTCTGTAGCAAGCAGCTGAGGCAAACGGTTTAGAAAGTTCAGAGCAAATTGCCAAAGGTCCAAAGGTGAGAGTCCCAGATCCTCACTGCACTCCAGACAATGCTCTGCTTTGGTTGCTGGGAGTCCCTGAAGGGAGAAGACTGAGTGTATACTGGAGATAAGACACATTTCCAGTTCATCCTTCTTTTTCTTTAACAGAGTTTTAAAAGCAAAATCCCTCAGCTGCAGACTCTAACAATGTATTCAAATAAATTTCCCACATCTACTTAGGAATGATAACAATGCATAAATTATAGCGGGAAGAAATGATCACTGCAGCATGCTTTCAGTATCGGTGTTTAGGGGTATGAGTACTTGGAAAATGAGAGCACTATGCAATTTTGACATCTTCCTTTTAAAGGCATGAGAATGAAAGTTTAAGATTTTTTCCTTTGTTGTACCAAAATTTGTCATATACCTTTCTAAAAATTACTTTACATTTACTTGCAATACTCTGATAAATCAGATTATATTCATGTTGAAAGTAAGCTCTGTATAATTCTTTTGTTTCCCTATTTTTAGATTCAATTTCTTTTGTTTGCTAATAATAGCAAAAAAATGAAAATAAGATGATAAAACTTATGTGAATGAAGAAGATAAACCTAATTAAAATAGAAACAAAACTCCCTTTTTAATGAATATGTATATTGGTAAAGAAGAGTGGGTTTATGTAATGAGAAATTCTAGTAGTTTGAATTCTTTCTCCACTCATATCTGTCAAAGCTAATTGCAGTAAAAAAAATACTATGGAAATAGTTAAGAACATTTTGTTCAGTATATTTAATTTTCATATATCTGATCAAATTGAAATGTTTTGACATTCCAAAATCAAAACATTTTGTCTTTGCTTGTTGAATCAAAAATCAAATTTTGGCTTAGCTAAGCAGTAATTTCTTTTCCCTTGAAATGTTACCATGTTAGCATGCATCACAGCAGTTATCTTTAAAGTCTTTGATTTCTTCATACACATACACTTTTTCTCTTGGACTTCATAGCCAGGTTACATTTCTCAGGATCCACCATGATCATGTAATTCCTAATATCAGTTCAAAGAAATGGTAAGCATCGATGTACTGTGGGTGCACTTTTCAGTAAGGGAGACATCTTCCTTTTAATTAGGATTTTGTGTGATGACATTACAAGACCATGCTATTTTGGGGAGATTTCTTGCAGAAATTTTTTCTGGATTCATCAGTATTGAAGGTATAATGCAGAAAGCTTTTCTTAGATTTTTCCAAATCGGTTTCTGTCCTTTGCTTATACCAATGACAGACACAATAAAACAACCCATAGGAGATTATTATTTTTTACTTCCAAGGAGCAACATAGGTTTTTATTTATTTTTGTGTCCACAGCTTCCTCAACATGTGTTTTGATATGGAACAAGGATTTTACTTTGCAGTATGATTCTAACAAAGAGGTCATACAAAAATATCTTATTTTTGCCTGTAACTTTTTGATGCCTTTCTGCATTCAAGAAGTTTTGGTTGTTATTTTAAAAGCTATTTATTTGTTCATTTAGCACTGAAGATAAATAGAGCTCTGCAGTGCCCAGCATTTGTTACCTATTTCCCTATTTTGCCTGTGTCTTCTCACTGCCTTAAGGTGGTTATTTGGGCTGATGCTAAGGCTGATTTACTGTATTCGCATGACACTGCACGGACATAAACAGATTACAGACGTTATGATTCAGCCCATAAGCATGCAGGTAACATGGGTGTATCACTCTACTGTGACAGCTTTATACTGCTGCATTGCCTAGTAAAAGGACAACAGGTTTTCTACAATGGGTACCACAAAATGCCACACATTATTATCCATTCAATCATCAAGGAAACCCTGTGCTTTCAGCTCCTTAGAAGAAGTCAATACTCACATGGGACTAGACAACATTAAGTTATTATTTCAGCTATTTCTGTGAAATTGTGGGCTTTGACCTCAGAATACAGCTTATCTTGCAGACCAATCTGTTTTAAATAGTATTATCTCATTGCATTCTTTGTGTTTCTCAATTACTTTTGGCTAACTCTCACTCTCCTCTGAATGCACCTTTTGGAAGTGACATGACGACTTTGGAGATGGAAACATTCTGAAGCCCAGTGACTGTATCGCAGGTCTTACATCTTTGCATCTTTTGCACTATATGTGACAAAGGCAGGCAGAGGGTATTTGTGTAGATTTGAAAAGAGAATGGATAATAGAAACACCAGATTTTACTACCTGATGTTCTACACTGGAAGTAGCTCCAATCTTTGGCATATGCTATATATCTCTAATCTGCACAGATTTGGTCCTGATCTAAAAACCAAACACATAAATGGAAGTACTCCAACTGTCTTTGGATCAAGCCACCTGAGGTGAGTGCTGTGTTCCATGTTTATTTTTCCTTAAGATATTTTTTTCCTTTAGCTCACATTACTTGGAAATAGGGACAGTTTGGGCCGTGGTGCTCACCATGGTAAGGTAATGTTGTTGAAGCACTAGGTACTGACAGACACCATGAAGTTTGTTCACCATTCCCTTCAAAAACTTATATACCAATATTAAAAATTAATTTAAGAAAAAAATTAAATTATATATAGAAAGGAACCATTTCTGGGCATTTCACATCTTTTTTCTTAGGATAATCTAATAGGGGAAAAATTTCCTAAAGGAGATAAAAATGTCATCAGCATCTGGTAAGTAACCATTACTGAAATGAGGTTTCACGGCTATTGAGGAAAATGCAGGGCATTTATTAATGCTGATGAAATAAGCTAGCTGGAACGGTCATACATTTCATGAATTATGCCAGTTACGTCTTCTTTCTTTCCTAAAAATCTTGCCATTTTTTTAGGATGTTCTGCATGTCCATATGTTGGTACTACCTAAAAATGAAAACCAGAACATTCACAGATTCTCTGTAGAACACAGAACCATTTCCATTGGAACTACAGCACTGGCTTGAAAGGTAGGTGACCAAGTGTCCTGTTTTGCCATCATAAGAGAGGGTTTGATACTACATGTAAGGATTCTATGTATAAGGCTACATGTAATTCTGGCTGGCAGAAGTCTTCCTGATGAACCTGGACTACTATGCAGCCACGATCTGAAGTTCGCAGAGGCAGAAAATTAAACAAGTAAATAATGAAACAACTCCTGTGCATGTTGGCACATATATCTGGGAATATGAAGTTCTAGCTTCAGCTATGTATGTATTGCACAATGCAAGCAATACATGTAGCTGGGACCAGGGCTCAGGACTGAGTGCATGTATTTCTTACTTGCAAACTGCTTAAACTCTCACTTGTAAGCCATGGCACATCATACACATGAGTATATCACTTATAATGAAAGTGGATTTTATGATCACAGTCACCTATAGAATCTAGAAAAGATAAGGAAACAGCACAGTAACTACTGCCAGCACATAGCTGAGAGTCGGTAGGGAAAAGCATTTTTAATACCTCCTGTTCCATAACACATACTATGGTGTCCTGTATTTATGCTGCACATGGCACATTTGATGGCCTCCACAGTACTCTAGAGGTACATTCACTGCTCCCTTTCTTTTCAGTATAAATGTGTACAGTTTGGTAACATTTTTTCTGTTGTATTTAGGTATCGTCATACGAATACCATCAAACAGAAAACCCACCTAACACTCAAACTTTAACTGAGCCTCTTAAACTGATAGGATTTGGGCCTCAAATTTGTTTCTTAGCCATACTATGCATTAATACATTCTTTTTCATAAAGTCTCAGTTGTAGGAGCTCTCTTGGCATTTAGAGTCTAGAAAGAACAATTTATTTTATCAAATTTTGTTTTCAGATTTCACTTCACTACACTTTTTTCCACAGCTGCACAGAAGAAGCTCCATCAAATCACTCATCTGAAACTGAAACCACTCCTTTCTATACTTGGCTTTTTCAGTGAGGAATTGGTTTTGCTGTGCCTGTTTTAGCAATGTCAACAATGGCTTTGATAACAGTAATATAAATACAGAAAGCCTATTAACTTTTTCTTATATAGTCTATACAGATTATCTATATTACTATGTTTATATCATATTATATTATGTTATATTATGCTACACATTGTATATTATACATTACATTATACACTTCTCTTCTGTTTGATCATACTGACATTTCCTTTTTCTATCACTGGTTACTGGTCTAATGTTTTGACAGTACTGTTGAGAGAGGGGTGTGGTAACTCCTTCACTGGACACATCCACCAGAAATTTTATCTTGTGCTTGTCATTGCATTGTGTTAGGATAAGGTCCTCTTCAATTAATGCATTTAGATTCTTTAAGTCTTGCATCGCATTTTCATGCAATACCTTTTGCAAGACAACAATACAGACAATTTATGGAAGCAATTATGCTTGGTACGAAGTTGTTTATATTCCAAAGAATCCTTGTGTACCTTCCCTTCCATCCCTCTCTCTCTTCTCTTTTTCTTTCTTCTTTTGTTCCTTCTTTCTTCTTTTCTTTTCTAAGAAATATACTCACTATATGATGTTCACATTTTTTTTGTTATTACTCATTTAGGTCAAGGCCCAGCACTTTTGGTTCTTTGGGAGCTCCTTTGAAACATTGGTCTTAGTCTTCTACTGTGTTTCCCAGATCACAGTGTCATCTGTTTAGGTCTTAGCATGTCCCTCATCAGAGAAAAATGGTTGTATTTTCTGGCGAAACACCTATGGTGCTAACTATAACCCAATGGCAATTGGAGGAAACCGCCTCTCCCAAAGGAGGTGTTGGAGGTCCATAAACATACACTCTGTTTGTCTAAGAACCGCTGCCAGAAGCCTGCTGAGACATCAAGAGTAGAAAAATATTTGGCATAAGTCA